TGCCAAATGCTTTATATAGCACTTGAAGTTTGGGAACAATTTTGGCAGAGGATGCACAGGGTCCATTGAGGGCATTAAGAACCAGAGTGGCACAGTGGTGCTAGGGAAGGTTAACAGTGAAGGCTTGTTCAGCAGCATCGATTCTGCATGTTATGTCAGGATAAGGGCCAAGAAATCTGGCGGAGTAACTGTATTAACAAGCTACATCATGCATGTGTTAAATAATATGGAAAATGGTGCAGTTTTGGTAGAACTTCCTGCTTCACAAAACTTCATACAGTTACAATGGTGGGAAAGAAAGTTAGCAGGTTAAAGTAATCGAAGCTGTGCCAGAGGGAACTGTGCTTGGTCAGCCCGGAGAGGTCTTGTAACATGATAAACCACAGATGAAACAGAATAAAATGGAATCTCGCCCAGTGACTGATGGCTACCAATGCAATTGTGGGCTCTAAACACACCTGAGCACTGCTGATGAAACTCTGAGAAATAGCAATATTATTTTCTGTTTAAATTTGGAAGCCTTCCAAGGTTCCTCAAGGATTTTCTGCTTTAATTCCAAATACTGTACCATCTAGAGTATCATCAAGTATATAGAATGTCAGCCTGAAATAAAATTACACTGCTGCATGAATTAATAAGTAGAATTATACTCCAAAGTATCAAATTAATTCTATAGTAACTCTGAATAGTGCTTTACATCACCCTAATAAACCTAATGCCGGCTCAGCTGTCTATTACTGGTAAGAATCCTTACCACACACCGATCAGGATGTTACCGCTGACTCTGATATTGAGCAAATATGCACATGTGCCATTAGAGGAAAGCTTCCACTTACTGTCCAGGGGTATGAGATTAGTCCTTTTTATAACCCCTTAAATCTCAGATTAGGAAAGGCTTCCTTTGCACACTGAAATATGAAAGAAAACAACAAAGACTGAAATTCAAGACAGACAAAATAGACAGATAAGATTTCATAGACCTTACAACAGTTCCTTACTTGAGGTGAATTCACATCTTTTCTGGATTTTGAATCAGTGAACATAGACTGGAATGAAAACTTTTCAGGAAATTGTTGGGTAAAACTTTACTTAAAGCAATCATATAAATGCATTATACGTATTATACATAATGCATTCGTAAAGTATCATAAACATGGCTATAAATTGTAATAAGAAGGCATAACACATTACAAACATGTTTATTATGAATTATGAATGCTCTATGCAGCTCTAATCTATAATGCACTATAAATACCTTCATAATGCAGTACAAAGCATTCTTAATTCTTATACTGACCATTATAGTGTATTATCAAGGTAATTAGTGCATTATATAATGTATTATAGACGACAGCTTCATAGAGCATTCAAAATGCATAATAACCATGGCTGTAATGTGTTATCCCTTTTTATAAATAGTTATAGCTGTGTTTAAAATACTTCATGAATGCATTATAATGCATTATGAAGGTGACTATAAACATTTACTTGAATGCTTTAAGTAACTTGTAGTTTCAGCTATTGAAAGTTCTAGATTTTTATGCTTGAGAAAGATTGATTATATTGTAACATATGTATAACATAAATAGGACCAAAAACAAAAGAACGTAAACTTCAATATGAGATGCACGTGTTTGAACATATCTGTGGGATGCTGAAGGTTTCAGGAATTCGAAGCACTAAAATGAGGAAGTAGTGGTGTTTATTGTTAGTGTGTAATTTGTCCTCAGAAATATGTTGGCCAGCTCTTAATTCCAGAAATTTGCTCTAGATGTCTAACTCAGCGGTTTATTTGTTATCATCTATTTTTGATATTCCTCTGCAAGGAGGGAAAAAAAACTGGAAATTGGATTTTTTTTGAGGTAGGTCTACTCGTTCCTTCTTGAAGTGTACAGGCACTTAAATTTTATGTGTAATATAAGTGAACATGAAACTGTTCCCAGAACTAAGCTGTCGTTTCACGAAAACAATGTACATTCCAAAGCATGTACAGTGCAATCTTCCATGACTGAGCACGAAGCACACTCATTCTCCAGGTAAACTGCCCGATCTCAGAAGGCTTTGTAAACAGCATCATTCTCTCCATATAAACAGATAAACCAATGGAAATCAACCAATGCTACAAGTATGAACTGAATTTAATTAGAAATCTAAAAAAACTATCTAGAAACTGAAACACATGTATGAATCATTTATCTGAAAGCCTGCAGTGAATTTAAAAATGAAAGCATTTTCAGTGTTAGCAAAATTTTCACTGATTTGTAAGTTCCATCCATCCATGCATCCATCCATCCACTAGCCAGTTTTCCTGCTTTACAACTGAAGACAATTGCTCTACCTACAAATACAGCACAATTCTAATTTCTTAATGTAAGTAATGACTGCCCAGTTCAACTGTTAAACAAACTGGCTGAATAAGGTTTATTTTATCTACTTGGTACATGCCTTGTTGTGAGAATGAAGGTAGAAAAGCTGAGATATTTAAAGTGACAGGAGAAAAGCAGGGTTGGTTACACAGTGAAGTTGTTTGTTAAAAGCAGGCTTGTGCCTTTCACTGAAATAAGAGGCACGTTCAGCAGACACTCAAGTGTATCCAAGGACAGTTTTCATTGTGTCATAAGTAATCAGCAAAGATGTCATTTCTTGTAGATGAATGAAATACCCCGTACTGATGAAAGACCTACCTTCCGCACATTAGGTTCGTGCAGATCCTCTTTTTCAGGATATATTCTTATATGCTGCATCTTCTGTGACACCATTCTGTAAAGACTTGGCTTTAATTCTCTTAGTTCTTCAATACTCGGTGTACACTATCATTCAGTACACTTAAACGGTTACTGGGGGATTTGTTTCTCATGCGACCAGCAGTTTTAAAAATGTTTAGCACCTGTTTAAATATTACTCTTTAACTATATGTCTTGGAAGCAATATATGTGTCAGATATAGAGTGTATCCATCCCGCTTCCAAATGTTTGCCCAGTACAGAGTCACGAGGCCCTTCCCAGGAAACTCAGGGCTGGATGCCGTTCCATCACAGAGCCCACACACATACACATGCTCACAAGCACAGTCACCCACTATAGGCAATTCGGAGATGCCAAATCACAGATTTGCTTGCCTTTGCTTGGACTGTAGGAGGGAAACAGAATAGCCAGTGAAAGCCTGAATAAAAGCAGAAAATGCTAACTCCGCCCACACAAAAGGAAGACGGGATCCAAATCCCCAATCCTGGAGCTGTACAACCAATGTGCTGCCCTTATTAGATATGAATGGCCAAGTGTATAGCTATTAGTTTGCATTATAAGGACATGATATACAGAACTGGGAAAGTGCATTTATTTTTATGCTGTTTTGTTTGCAGGTAAAATGAGTTCTGATCATTTAAGCCAAAACAAAATATGATGAATGATTTTAGGCCCTATGTGTTTAAGCTATTGTAGTGTTTATAATATAAATTTAATAATTCATGAAGTATTTCAGTAAGCTGCTTTATTGCTAGAATTTCAAATTTGTTTCCAAGTGCTTTAATATCAAATTTTCTGACAGGTATGGCTCTGTATGTAATGGTACAATGGTTTGAAGCCAGAAATGTATATACTTCATTAAAATAATAAACTTTTGGAAAAACCTATGTAAATCATATTCATTTAATGGACGATTTAATATAAACTTTGAGGTGACACCAGTTTGGTAAATTCTTTTTAGGATAATCCTCATTAAAATGGAGGCTCCCTATAGACAGGTCTGGGAGGAGAACTCAAATCCACAGCCGAGATTTATCAGACCACAATAAAACCTACTGAACCACCAGGAAATTATATAGCCTAATATATCTATAAAGAATGTGCTTATTGTCAATGTACAGGGAGCAAATACAATGAAATCTTGCTCTCCTATGAGACACAGAGACATATACTGGTCAGATCGACGTTTGTGTGTGGGGTTAGCCATTTATCCGACACTCCTGGAGCAGTTTTCGGGATTAAGGGCCTTGCTCAAGGGCCCAGTGGTGATATTATCATTCTACCAGCATTGGGATTTGAACCGCCAACCTTCCAATTACAGGCACATATAAGACAGTGTGCTCAAAATTCCTTGAAATTTTGAAATTACGCGTCTGAACTTTATCAGGAAGTTACATTGTTGCATTTTAAATACTTTCATGGACAGTAGATGGCAGCAATGTGCTAGTAAAAAAACAACAACACAAGGCCTGTCTTAAAAAAACCAAATGCTTTGTTTAGGGAATGGCTTGAATTCTTACAATATACAGCACTACTTCATTAGTGCATTTAAGTTTCATGTTTGTATTCCATATTTTTGTTTTTACACCCTGCCTCACATCTACGCATACTGTATTGTACATTCCAATACTTAATGATCATTATTGCTCTTGGCACTTTATGTATATCATATGTCTTTTGTTTAATCTGTATATGGCTTGTATATTGTGTATTTTCTGTTATATATTCATTGTCTGTCTATTGTCTAACTGATGGAGACATCGCCAGCCGGAACAAAATTCCCTTTGTGACTTATCAAACTTGGCCAATAAATCTGATTCTGATGATATACATTTAATATATAAAGCTGCATGATTTTTCTCCCTCAACACTGAAATTTCATCAAATGTGTATCACACTCTCATTTTTCATCTGGTTGTAATAAAAGTCTCCTTATCTGCCCAATGCCAAACAAAAGAAGGAAAAGAACAGAACAATTTGGGTAGTATTAGTAGTTTTACTAAACTGATTAACTACGAGAAAATAATATCCTTGTTCAATCTTCATATAAAACTCTTATATCACAAATAAATGAATGTCATATTTAAGTAATGCTTATGGTACCCAACTTACAGTAATGACTATGCATAAAATGTCCACCCCTTGTCAAACTGCTTAGCCCACTCAGGATTGCAGGCGGGACTCTGGAGCCTATCCCAGCAGCACAGTTGACATCAGAGAGCCAACGAGGATAGGATACACAAGGTTGTCAGACGCCGAACTGTAAGACGCATACACAGTGGGAGATTTACACGAGGATCGGACCGGGTCACACAAGACACGGGTAAACACTGAGGGAATAATTTTAAACAATAAGGAAATATAACCATGAACATCAACAACATCACAACAAGGGCTATAATTACAACTGCACGCGGGGCATGCTGGGACATGCGCCTCACCGGTGCTACGATACTAATAAAATGCTCCGACGTGCCTATTTATGTCTTTGCATGTACAATAAACTATTTCATCAGCTCAACAGTTATAAAGTCAGCACTGTCTAACTGCAGTCCAGCTACAAAGAGTCTGCGCACATGAATTTCAACGGCTGATTTTTTTTTCACAGCAGTAAAGCACTTCTGTTACATTTTACATCAGAAACCATCTGCCATTTCGGATGAAACTACCCATCTGTGTATTACCAAGTAAAGTTTTATTGTATAACGGGATAGAAGAACTGTTTTATTTTAACAGTGTTTTGCGCTCGTTAATAGTGCAAAAATAATAAAATGAAATTAGGTGCAAATCTGCCTCTTAGTGACTCCTAAGCTCACCCACTGTTTTTATTGTACGGCAACAACTGTGCTAACAGGCGCTGGGAAGACCAGGCGGCGGTCGGTCGCGTTTCGATGACGTCTACTGTTTGTTTCCACGTCGCTCGTGAGTAAAGATGGCGGAAGTGGATGACTCTAACAAACCCCTGGTAAGAGAAACCTCTAAAATTAATTTAATTGGGTTTCTTGGATGGCAAAAAACATGTATTGATTAGATTTTATGGAAGTAACCTATTGGCATTGTAATGCTGGCCGTTCAAAAACAAGAATTGCTACAAATTAAACCATTCTTTTCTATGCCTGACTGTGTTTAGATGGTTAGCTAGTTAGCCGGCTGGGTAACTATCCAACTAATGAAATTTTAAAGTTATTAGTTTATATTTGCAGATGAACTTGGTGATATCATTAAGTAGTCGTTGATAATGTAAACATATACTCAAATCAGATTCCGCTGCTGTAGTATAAGTAAATATTATATTAACAAGTGAGTCGTTTTGATGGACATGATAATGATATTAGGGTAATTTTCCTTCTTGGTTAAAAAAGAAAAAATACATATGATTTTATGATTATTTTATATCTTTAGTAGTTTTTTTTTTACTGATAGCTTGAAAAACATATTTGAGGCTTTTAGCCATCCAAGTCACTGATTTGCAGTTTCTTGTACATTTATCTTAGTATAGAACAAATACATGCTACATAGAATGAAGAAGAGGTAGAGTACTCCTTCATGGCCAAGGTTAAACGGCTACTGTCGTGGTGTATTCCCCGAGCCAGCATTATATTTAAGAGTCATCTTTAAATATCGCAATCAATGATTCAGGCTGCATTTCTGAAATTTTCGTGTTGTGCTCGTATGAACCCAGCGTTAAACATATTTCGCATTATATCTTTAGGCACTAATTAAAATATCTGTGGAAAACAGTTAATTTGCTGCTGCTTTTTATGTGGGAAATACGATGTTTGAACTTTTATTTATGATAGACAAAATAGTTTTGTTTTGTAAGGTCACCCTACCGTTCAATTTCAGATCATACAAAATATGTTGAATTAGCATTACAGTTGTACAATAAATACAAGTGGCAGAAATGAATAGTCAACAGCCATACATTATGACCAAAAACTAAACAAAAATTTGGAAGAAAAACAGCAATATGGATGCTAAAAAGTATGCAAAATGTTAGTTTACTGACTTTAAAGGCATCTCAGCATAAAGAAGAATGTGTTTACTGCAGAAGATCAAAGTGCATGTTTTATTCAGATTTTAGTATTCAAACTGCATTCATACATTAAGTCCACTGTGGTTCTTTGCAGTTTGCAGGGCTTTCTGATGTTTCCATTTCAGAAGATATCCCCGTTGAGGGGGAGATCACTGTCCCCGTGGGCCCTTCATCGCAGGATGACGCCTACTCTACGCTCGACGAGCCTGTTAAGGAGACAATCGTAAGATACCAGCATCTTTTTTAAACACATCATGACTAAAAGTTCATATTAATATTAAGTTCATATTAAAAGTTCATATGATGCAAATTTCCCACTTGTGGGACTAATAAAGGATTATCTAATCTAATACATAATAGATCTGTATGTTAATGGGTGAATGAAATGATGAAAATGAATGATGATACTTCATTGATCCCCGTGGGGAAATTCTTTTTTCACCTACCCCATCTTGCTTTGCATGAGTTAAATTTAACACATTTAATTAGTTAAAGCAAAACAAAAAGGTTTTGCAATAACACTGTATGCTAATTGTAATCTGTAAAATAAATAAACTTAGAATAGCATATGCAATTTGATTTATATTCTCTCTGCAGCTCAGGGATTTGAAAGCAGTGGGAAAGAAGTTTGTCCATGTGATGTATCCCAGAAAAAGCTCAGCATTATTACGAGATTGTGAGTATGAACTGATTTTGATGCTTATCAACATGAATTCTGCAGTTGAATTATAGATTAACTTTATCTAATGTATTAGCGATTATGAATAAGTTAAATGTAAGCAAGAACACAAAAATTAGCGCTACATTATGGTGATTTACTGTTTGCTATTTTTTGTGAAACTGCTTCATTTCTTGGCCAGTGTTTGACTTACAGTAAATACAGAAGTAAAAAGAAAAAATTTACATATCTATGTGTGTATATGTAAATATGAAAACTGAAAGTATAATGCAAATCAGATACTAAACAAATTTTATTCAATATTAATGCAGTGTTCTCTAAATCTTGGATTGTTGACAAATATTCATTTGGCAAGTTCCAGTGGGAAATCGCTGACATGTCCTCCCATGTTCTCTTCGGCAGTTCCCATCAGCGTGGTATATTTGTTTTGGTTTGAATCTTCTGTCCAAATTATCCCATACAAGCTCCATGCAAGCTTGACACTTGGAGACTGGGCAAGCCTTAGTTGCCTTTTCTCTTGTGGTAGATCTTGCACAGTTTTTGTCATTTTCCTTAAGACTGAAGGGCTGCCTAATCAGCTGTAATCCTGTTGGAAGAACAATAAAATTATACAGCAGGAGAGCAATCTCAATGTACTTAAACATATCAAATAATTGAATTGGGAATATCACCTATGTATTGCTCATCAAGACCAGACATGAACAGTAAATACATTCCCATGGTGTATCTTTGGCGGAAAACGTTTTGGCTCAGCTCTTGATTTTGTCCGGTCCTTTAAATGTGAAAATGCCTGTGTGCAGATGAATGCGTGAGAATGAGATACTGGCAGTTCAGCTGTTACATCATAATGCCCATATATGAATCATTCCAGATCAGCTTATGTTTTCTGTATTTAAATGTTTCAGTTTGTCTATTTAATAATGTTTCGTCTGCTTCACGCTTCTGTCTTGTGCTTAAGCTGACAGTTTTTGACACGTAGTCATTAGAATTGTTAAATATGTATCTAATTTGTATCGTAGTTGCCCTTTTTTTAAAAAAAAAAAAAAATCATATTTTAAGTGCTCTCCAGCATATATTTTTAACAAAAATCACATGTCCAGCTCACCAAAGAAAACACAAGCTTTCCAAGTAATTACTGATTTTTAAGACTTGCCAAACTGTGTTTATATGCTCATTGTGAAATAAGACATTTTGGTTCATTCAAAATTCATCCAAGATTTATTCTTGGCAAAGTAGCAACTCTTCAAGTATAAAAACTGCTTTGCTCACATCAAAATAAGTATGTGTCAGCATCCCTGTCTGGAATCTGTACCAGTTTGCCTTTTAAGTTTTGCATTTGCTTGAAAGTGATTGGCAGGGTTTGTTTTTTGGTTTTATGTCAGAACTGCAAATGGGAACATTTAAATGTTAGTAACCTGTCTGTGCTTTTTCTTCTTTTTTTAGGGGATCTGTGGGGTCCGCTACTCCTTTGTGTCACCTTGGCTCTGTAAGTTTGCTTTTATATGCACATTGATTTTAGCATGGATTATACCATAAAACCAATGCATAAGGATAGAATATATATATATATTTTACAGATTTTTCTCTTGAAGAGCTGCTAGATCGTGGTGTAATAGACTTAATATTTTAATAAACGTATGTCCATTACGCGGTCGGCCATCAGTCCGATCAAAGGTGAAGAGCGCACCAAAAATGGCAAGCTTGAATTCACAGGTCGCTACAGATCCGCAGATGGATATGACAAACTAAATCACTTATTGTAATGGTCATTTGCTAGGAAGGCCACAGAAACAGTCACTCACCGTTAAGGCATGGGCTGCACGGGTGGCTTGTTTGGGTTACTGCTCCACCATTTAGTGGGACAACCAAGAAAATAACCTTTATGGAAGCAATATAAAGATTTGCGGGAGTTAAAAATTACTACTTGGTTTCCTTACAGTGAGAGTCGTATTACTGTCTAAATCGAGTTTTCTTGACATGCACTCTAGCAATTAATTTATCAGAAAGATAATGGTTTAGTCAAATGCTCTTTGTGTATGTGACCATGAATCTCACTGCTGTTTTTTGTGCCATTTTGTAGTACTGGGTTCCTTGTAATGACAGATTCATGAGCGCCATTGTAGCATAACATTTTCCAGAAAAGCCTCCTTTGTTCACTTATACGGCCAAGAAATGGGTCTACAAGCTGACTGACCAGTGAAACAGAATTTGCTAGCATGCATTAAAATCAGCCAGTAGAGTTCTCCACAACATCTGTGGTCTGATTTCTTTTTCTACTGACAAGTTTGGCCCCACCCACATGACACAGGGGTGCCTGCAGGATCCGGTGGTTGGGACTTTGAGAGATATAGTTAATCTTTTTTTTTTTTTTTTTAACGACAATTTGCTTCCTTTATTTTTAAAAGATAATCAAAAAAATCTGCCCACCTCACCTGTCCTGTCTACTGTTGTATGCGCATCTGAACACATATAAACCTGAGCTGAAAAAAATAGCTAAAGAATACAAAACAAAATTTGAGAGTTTGCTGTTCTTGTTTTAGATGTATTCAAGATGTAATTGTATCCTGAGTAAAGTATTGTTTTTTGAATGTGTGTGTGAATTTTTATGGGAAAAAAAATGAAACGTATATGAATTTCTGGTGTTGGGTCAAGACATTACCATTGACATCCATGTGAATTGTATCCCAGTATGTTGCAAGGAGGCTCTGCAGACAGTAAAGAAGATGGCGGACCACAGTTTGCGGAGGTCTTCGTGATCATCTGGTTTGGCTCAGTTGTTATAACACTGAACTCCAAACTGCTTGGTGGTACCATGTAAGTACGGACTTAAACTTATATTTTATATCCCGTGGCCAGTAGAATAACCATATTACTGTTGGGTCTTTGAGGAAGACCCTCAGCACTGAAAACTGCCCCAGAAAAGCTGTTAAAATGTCTGACTCTGTTCTCTGACCCCAAACCTCACTCTGTATGTGTGTCTCATAGGAGATTGTCGGAATATGTGAAAACTAAAGAATGTCTGTGTATCTAGTATAGAAGGCAAGCCAGTGAAATTTGACATTTTTTTTACATTTATTTCGCAGACACTTTTATCCAAAGTGACATAGTTTTTTTTGAGGGAGCAGGATCCACTGAACCCTGGAGTAACTGGGGGTTAAGGGCCTGGCTAAAGGCGAAAGGGCTCCACTGTGAGATCACTCTGCCAATGCAGGGATGTGAGACATTGGCCCTCCTCCTGCAGACCTAATTCTCTGAACCACATACCACCCGTTGCCCTGAAATTTTGATTAAAATCTTTACAAAAAATCCAGTGGCAGCGCATTTTATTCGGTCAACTTTGAAAAAATTATTTGCAATAAATATAATAGCTATTCGTAAAATTATATATTTAAACAGTTTTTCCATGACGAAGGTTGTAGATCTTTTAAAATGTTTTGTATTAAGTATATAACAGAGCTGCTTTTGTGTATTAGCTCACATTGTATGTTTTACTGTTTAAGTTGCCTGTGAAACCTGATTGGCCTTTTCTTGTCATACGTTTAATGCTATTGTTATTAAGAACAACCATCAGCCTGAGATGTTATATGCTTGTTGTAATCCATCTTGCTGGTTACTGAGGTACAGCTAGGGCAAGGTGAGCGCCCAGCGAAATCTGTAATCCCTATAGCTTTTGAATCATGTTAGCTGCAGCCTTCTTAAGAAAACCCGACTCCCGTTGAGACGACGATCTAAACACCAACACAGTACCGAAGGAAAGCGATATGACTAAAAAGTTCCAGGCTCAACTCCCAGGAAGAATCCAATTAAGTCCCATCCAGTCTCCTAGGAGGGGAAAAAGCTGAAATAAATAAAATAAAACTTTATTATGCCATAAAGAAAATTTTGATTTAAGTCTGACAGTTTAAGAAAGAGCACATCTGTAACTAATCATATGACATGTACCAGATGCATATGGGGAAAAAAGATGTTACTTTGCAAATCTTAGATGAGGAAGTATTAAAAGGAACATATAATAATGTTTTTTTTTTCTTTTATTAGACTTTAAAAGTATGACCTGATGATGAGAATGATTAATATTATTACTGCTTATCATTATTAGTCACAGTGTTGTATAATACATTACAATGATTTAATGTTTTGGAGGGGAGTCTTCATTTTTACTAGTTTACATGGCATAAGTAAGAGTACAGCCGTAGTCCATGGGTGAATGAGAGGTGTAGTAAATCCTGTATAAGGCTGATGAGTCTCATACCAGAACGGAACAGCTTCATTAAAACAAGTGCCATAAAAAAAAAAAACTCTTGCGTGTTGGTCTTTCTCCAGCTCATTTTTCCAGAGCCTCTGTGTGCTGGGGTATTGCATCCTGCCTCTTACCGTGGCGATGATCGTGTGCAGACTGGTGCTGCTGGGAGGATCTGGCACTGTCAGCTTCATAGTCAGGCTCGTCATGGTGGTCGCCTCGTTCAGCTGGTCCACGTTCGGTGAGTCTGGCCGCGTGTGCTTCCGCCGTCAAGAATTTGGTGAATTTAGACGGAATTACAAAGACAATTACACACTTTAACCAGTAGGTGGCGGTGTTGTGCCTTCGCTACTGGAAAGTCGCCGGCGAAGGTTTTGCGTGAAGAAACAACGTATACATAATTGAATGAAAGTGTGGGGATCTTCATGATGACTTGGCCTTAATGTTATCTTGCCATGCACTTGTGTTCCAGCCTCAACAGCCTTTTTGGCGGATAGCCAACCTGCAAATCGGAAAGCTCTGGTGGTGTATCCTATTTTCCTCTTCTATTTTGTCATTGGTTGGATGATTCTCACATTTTCGCCGTCTTCTTGAAGTGGACCCTGAAGGGTTCTCCTATTTAAACTTAAAAGCTGGACCCTTTTCTGTGCAGGAAGTTAAAAACAGCTGAACTCACTCTTTTTTTTTCTAAATTGAGACTGGTTGTAAAGCCAGATTAAAAAGAAAAAAAGACTTGCATGTCTCGGATGTATTAAGGGCATAACCGAACGCTTATTGGTGGATGCATTATGCTAAAGGTATGACTGGACATGGTTCGTTCCTCCCTTTAAGTTAAATATGTTTTGTTAAAACAGTACAAGTGCCATTCTTGGTGTAAGGAACTTGGTTTGTTCGATCCCAAGAAGTTTAGCCTTACTAAAGGAATAAAGCTGAAAGGAAATGTTTCGAAAATCCCAAATGCTTTATTTAGCGCAAAAATAATTAAGTGTCATTTTTTCCCTTTCTGCAAATTAATTTAGAAAAAGTGTATAAAACTGAGCACTGTCCTATACTGTAGTCTGAACTTTTCCATTGCTGGTCTTATCAGCTCTCTAAGCTGGCTTTTGTTCCATTCAAGCATATAATTAGTCTTAGTTTAGTTGTTGACAAAATGGGTCGTTTTTCAAACCAAGTTAAAAGTAACACAAGCTGAGGACTCGCTGTTGATGCCGTTTCGTTTGAACTCATTTTGAACATTTAAAGTAACCAAAGACTCAAATTTCAACTCAGTTTTGGTTTAGCAATTAGGATTTGAAATTTATAATCCAGGTTCAGTTTATGTATATTTTTATGCTTATCAAATGAAAGGAACATAAGCCAGCTACTTTATTATGATTAACCATCAAAACATGTGTCCTTCGCTTTCCAAGGACAGCATGATTAAAAGGTTTTACACTATGTTCCTCTGCTGGCTAAATTTGCGGTTAACATGGTACCAGTTTCTCTGAATTTGTTTTCAATCAAGTTGTTCTTTTAAGCAGTAGTTAAAAGGTTGGCTAAATAAAAGGTCAGGATACGTAGTGAGCCGCCAGAGGCACTCCTGCAAAAAAAACTTCACGAAGGGCAGTTTGGCGCCGTTTGTTAACATAGATATGTTGTTGTGTAGCACTGTCTGTCATACTTTCCATTCTGCAAGGAATCCTGTTTTTTATTAAATTCAGTCCATTCCTCTTTGCTTCAAAACAGTATGTTATTTCTAGACAATTTACACGTGGATCCAGTGGTGAAGGCCTGATATATTTATGGGAAATATAGAGATTCTGAAATTGTCTATGTGTGTAACATTTTTTTGTATGTATAATAAAAGTCACTTCTGTACATATGTGATTATGTTCTACTTGAGGAGTAGTCTGTCCAAAATGTAAATGTGTAATATTTATGATTTGTTAATCATTACAAGAGTATTTATATTTAGTTATTAGCTGTTATTCAATTTCCAACAATGGGGAAAGGCATATTCCAAACTCTTGTTTAGCCCCTACAGTAATTTATATATATATATAACATTTTTTTTCTAGACATCAGAGATTAGAATTAATTGAATGCCCTTTGTGTTCCCTGTTACCTTCAAGGTCACGGTAACCCATGTTCCTTTTAAATTGTTCCCAGATCTCCTAATTACACATCTCTCAGATTTTCTGTAATTTTTCTGAAATTTTATGGTGAGGTATCTTCAAAGTCTTTGGAGGAAATTCAAAAATATGTTTGTGAGAAGGTGATGGAGGTGAGCAAGTGAGTTCTTTTTGAAAGCCATGCTCAATAAAGTAATGCCTTAATATGCCTTGTGTTTTCTTGTGACCACATATAATCCTGTTGTATGGCGTACAATGGGCATTTTTGAAGAAGACACATCTGGCTTCATGTATCTTGGTGAAAAGCTGTAAGATTTCTGTTTTTAGAATCATTTGCCAAATAGGTTTTAGATTTAGACATGGATTTTACTAATGTATGACGTGCTATGCTCTCGGGAATTATATAAAGTACGAGGATGCACATATAGTATAGGCCTTATATTAACAGCAATGTACGTGATAAACGTGTAGTACAACCTTAAGGATTAATTTAGCTACGTATGTGACTACTCTTTTGTTGCTCATTGCGTATGTTACCACTGACAAAGATGAAAGTTAATTTTTGTGCATTGATTTCTTTCTTTGTTAAAATAGGCAGGAAATATTACACAATGACACTTTTGTTAATGGAAAACAACTTCCTTGTTTTTGAGTCAGAATTATCTTACTTCCATAGTGAAACGTCATCTTCATACAAAGGTAAGATATCAAAACCTCAAAGTACTATCATGTCCATTTATGTCACACCTATACGTCAGTGTGTTTCTTCATGCTTTAAGGTAACTATTGGCATTATATGCACATAGCAATGACTTAAAATCCAGAAATATGACTACCCGAAGCACCAGAAATCTGAATGACAAACACCAGGAAACCATTACTTAGACCTCTCGGAACAATGATTAAATGTTGTCAAACTTCAAAGGCATTGCTTTAATGGGAAATTCTAACTCAATGGGATACTGCAGCATTCAGAGAACTGGTTTGGAAAGCATAGCTGTACACCGAAATAGCAGTAAGCTCATATCCAACTGAGATAAAGCAGCAAAGTCAGAAGTGTAGCATAAATTTTAAAAAATGCTTGCGTGAATTCAGGAGTCCTTTCGTCCACCTGATTGGCTTAGAGTCTTGTGTATTGAATGTTATTTTGGCTGCTACATACTATCAGTGGCTCTATAGCAGATTTTCTTATGCTCTGTGATTTAAGGAAAGCATGGAACTTGGCTGTTATATGGGAGAGAATAAGGCCTTGAACTAAACTGATCTAAACTAATCTTGTATGAGTCTGGCATTGGAAAGAAACTTACATACTTGTCTCGATACTGATTTAAAGTCCTGTGGGTTCATTTAAAGTTTGGTAGTTTATATATAAATGTACAGTCGACACTTCCCCACCTTGCTGGGGTTAGGGGCGCAGGCCCCCCACAGTCTGGAAAAACTGGCAAAAATTTTCTGGTCTCCTTGGTGAGCAGACCAAAGCGAAACTAATAGATCCCTGCAAGGTCACTGCGAGATATCATGTGAGAGGCTGGCGTAAGAGCACTCGTCGTTCTCCAAACCAGCAAATCTGCAATTATGAGTTATTAAAGTTTTTGTGGGTAATCTGCTGGCCGCGTGTCACCTGCGGCATTTGAAAAAGTCTCAAAAAATTCACATTTAATTTCTCACGTATTTATATACATACATATGGGCGCCACTTTACAATAAAGCTCCCTTTGCCACTTGTAAATGGTAGCAACTCATTAATAAAAAGAAAACTGTGGTATAACTTGTTTAAATTTGTCTATTAATAATTTACAAAGTGTTACAACCTAATTAATAACCAGATTATAAATCATTCATTAACGCTTTAGTAGCCTTTTGTAAAGTGGTACCTACATATATGTGTGATACAGATATGTCTCCCAAGTCTTAAAATACGATAATTTTAGATAAGGAAAACTTTGTTGGGGGGGGGGGGGGGGATATAAGCAAAAGTCAGTATATAAGCAAAAGATAAATTGAATTATCACCTGAAACCAAAATGGTACTATTTCTTTATTAAACCGACATTCACCAACTGTCCTGGAAAATGTAACCACTCTAATTTATTAAGCTGTGACACCTAATTTGACAGATGTAACTTCGCCAACATGATATTGGCGAACCCTGGGTAGTTCCCTGCATTTTGCCCATAGCCTCCAGGATAGGCTATGGATGGACCCCCCATATCCCTAAATTGGACAAGAAGGAACCGAAAATGGATGGATAGATGGATGGATGGACTACTCCCAAATGTATATTATATCCATTGATTGATATTGCACATTAGCTTGGGGGTATTTTGATTTTTCCTCTTTATAAAAGTGCTTCAGCATTGATATTGACACACTACAACATTTCATTTGTGCAAAGGTCAGGACTTTGACTTAAAAATATGAATTTTCTTCTGTTTTTCTATTCTACTTGAGAATTCCTTGTGCAAACACCACATACTTATAAGCTTCAGTTCACAGATACATTGACATTTGCTTGCTGAATTTGCCAGCACCTTTTGAAAGTCATTGTTGCCTTATTAATCATTTCCATCGGCACTTGCCCTCAGATTTCATGCTTCCTGCTGTGAGCTCGTGGTTCCATTCATGGTTTGGGCGATTCCTGTGTTGTGTAATGAGTGCCTTACTGCCGCTTCTCAAAGTATCTCATAAGGATTATTTAACACAGCTGGGTGGAGAGGAAAGATGGAGAAGGCTAGGAAGTTAAATGTGTAGATTTAGATGTGTTAGTGTTTTTTTTTCTTTTGACTTTTTTGTTACATAATAATAATAATATGTTCCAGGTATCTCGGAACATTGTAATTTTTCATTTATGTAATCAAACCTTTTTTCCATCTCTACCTTTGTCCTCCCCGGTTGCTGTCCACCATCACTGGTTTGTATTGACTAAATACAGACGCTCCTCTAATTAAGAACTTTCAACTTACAAACTTTCAGACAAACCAATGAAGAGGACTGTAAGTCTAAACTGTTCACTGGGCTCCCGTTTCCTGTCCGCAACATCACTTTTTCTTTTCTGCGCGCCAATTCCGCCTAGTACGACGTCTGGCCGCTACTCCCGGCGCGCAGCAGCGTAGCCTGTGTACTCCCAGCATCCTAGTTCTTTGTACTTGTGTAAACCCTTAAATTGATGTTTAATAACGACTTACGAACATTTCAAGTTACGAACGGCCGCTTGGAGTTGTGAACGGCTGTTTGTAAAGTGTTCCACATGTATTACATCCATCCATAGAACCTTCAGGATCTTTTAGGTGGTCTTGAGATGGAAAACTAGAGATGGGCGTCATGTTCTTTTTGGTGACCGCAGATAGAAGAAGATTGATGTATTAGAACGTGGATGGATTGATGGTCTTAGACTAGTTGGACTGATATTAGTGCCCAGCAGATATGCAGCTGCATGGCCTCCTTTTTGAGTTCTTCTTCCATGGGTCAGGAAGAGTAACAATGAGCCTTCAAGCAGAAAATCATGTGGCAGGAGCTGAAAAATTGGACTCAAAAGAATCACATTTATTTTCGGTCAAGTATAAAATCCAAACCATTATCGGAAGGATGTGTTCTAATAAACACATTTAAACAAAGGCAGAATAATCGCATACGGTTGCTGTCATACCATTAAATAAATGTAAACATCTGGATAGCTTTCATTAATCATTTTCCACATTATAGCAAGGGAGTCTATGTGCTCCATATTAAAGTCTCGAACTCAGTTTTTTTTTCCTTCAAAACATTAAAATGTTTCATTGCACTACATCAAGAGTACATCCTTAGTATGACAAACAAAGACAAATTTGTCACATTAGGGAAATCCCAACCCAGTATTCTTCAATATGTCTGATAGGAGAGAACAAGTCACTGCCATTGGCTGACTGCCTCCACTCACAGTGTAGATAGGTTGGACACTGCTGCAAGTTTAGCGGAAATTGTATATTCTCTGCCTGCGTAATTTTTCAAAATCACTTTTTCTGCATGAACTGCCATCGTTGCCAAAGAATTTCTGTTCCTCCAAGGGCTCTGTTGATGTGACCTTACAAATGGGATCAAAGAATAATGACATAAATGAAAGCTTCAAAGTGTATAAGATAATGACTGGAATTAATTCACATGAATTATTTTCTGGAACCAGGAAACGGCAAAATTGACAATGTGACTGGGTCTTTGACAGGGTCATACTGTCCTATTTCCTAAGAAATTGTCTGTTTGGGGCATCACCCGGAACATTTCATGTGCTGTTACCTTAATTGTACTCAGATGTGGCTCATTCACAGACATACATACAGACATACACTGAGCACCATTTGTAAAGGACATAAATCAAACACAGGACTCTGGATTAGCGTTTCTGCCATACTGTAGGTTAACCAAATAGGCTTTACGTATGGTGCATTATAAAAGACGATTTTGTTCCTTCATAATGTATATTAATATTAATGACAAAAACATATAATTACAATGTTTATGCAAAGTTGCTCTTTTCATGAAAAGGGGGTCTTTATCAGCTTCTTGCATGTGTTATGTGTTTCAGTCCCCTGTAAGGTATCCCTTCAGCTAGCTGGGAACATTTTTACAGTCTCAGGCACAGAAATGCCAGGCCTTGGCTTGTGCAGATATGTTACCCCTTTATTTACACAGGTTTCCGCCCATAGCCCATAAGCACATGCTGAGCCTAAATTTAGTTTCTAGGCTAATCACAATTATTTACGCACAAGCAACTTTATTGTTGATGACAGAAAATCATTGAGACAGGAGAGAAAAACCTGAACATAACTGAATGTGATTCATGCAAAGTTATTAAAAGAAATCTACATTCACACACATATTTATACCTTTTATATATATATATATATATATATATATATATATATATATATATATATATATATACACACACACACACACACACACACACACACACACACACACACTTATGTGTGAATGTGTGAGATCTGTGCAAAAGTCTTGGGCAGAGGCAGTCAATGTTTAAAGCTTTATGTGGATAGTAAGTATATCTGGCCAGAAATAAACATCAGAACATATGCAAATTAAGAGTGATACAATAAAAAAAAAAACAAGAATTTCTTCTCTGTTTCAAGAAGTTGAAATCTTCTTGGACAGCTAGACGAACCCCACACTGGTTCCCAAACCTCTTCTCGGCCTGTATATAAATATATGTCCAGTGTTTCTCAATCCGATCCTCCGGGACCTGCAAACAGTTCATGTTTTTGCTCTGGGAGGGAGCAGAAATGTGAACTGTCTGGCTTGAACATCTGTGGGTCCTTGAGGAGCGTATTGAGAAACAATGAAGTTGAATCCTCTTCTGCACAGCCCTTGCTCCATATCCCATACTTCCTGAAATGTTCCAGGTTCAACGAAATCCTGTACTGGATAAATGGTTATGGATAGATATATTTATACAGACGGTTCCCAGGTTACGATGGTCCATGTTACGATATTTCAACCATACGAAGGGTGAATGATTTTCACTTTGAATACATCCATCCATCCATTGTCCAACCCGCTTATCCTACTGGGTCGTGGGGGTCCACAGCCTATCCCGGAAGCAACGGGCACGAGGCAGGGAACAACCCTGGATGGGGGGCCAGCCCATCGCAGGGCACACTCGCACACCATTCACTCACACACACACCTAAGGGCAATTTAGCAACACCAATTAGCCTCAGCATGTCTTTGGACTGTGGGGGGAAACCGGAGTACCCGGAGGAAACCCCACGACGACACGGGGAGAACATGCAAACTCCACACGCATGTGACCCAGGCGGGGACTCAAACCCAGGTCCCAGAGGTGCGAGGCAACAGTGCTAACCACTGCACCAACTTTCAATACATTATTCAGTAAATTGCATTAGACATTCGACATTTTTTTATAAGTTAGGCTTTGTGTTAATGATTTTGCCTACCAGTAGGCTAAGGTAAGTATTCTGTGTGTGTTTTTAAGGTAGGCTTTGGGCTAGGCTATGATCTGTGTCAGGTTAGGTGTACTGTGTTAGAAGGCTGGCCAGCAGATCAGGTGACATTCTGCCCCTTAGCCGACGGTGAGCTGCCGTGTCTCTGGTTACCCATCATCATGCACACGTCTTGGACTATCAGTGTTAGGTCTGATTCTGACCATGTGTTGAAATCAAATGAGGGAGCCCTTCAGAACTAACTTTGTAGCATATCACTCCAACAGCATCTAACTCTTCTTTGATTGCTTCAGGCTCACCGTTCTCCTTGGAATTTACGGAACCGTCTATGTCTCCTGTAGCCAATGGCTAGTCCTGAATGCTAGTGCCTCATTACTGAATTTAGTTGCGGGAACTTGATTTCATAATCACCACTTCCTACTCAAATGTGCCCATAAGAAAGGTTGTATGTAGTGATGAGATGTAGTGAAAAGTTATCAGGCTGGTGTATTTGGATTATTATAAATGTAAAAATTTCAAATTTCAGTGAAAAATGGTTTTAGGTATGCTCCTGGTATAAGCTAAGGCTTATACGAGTCTGTGTACTAAAACTGCAGTTCATTGTTAAGTGTTCATTCCCAAAATAATTATATTGCAAGGAATCTTCCCATCTTACACACTGCTTAACCAGTGTCGTGAGTCTGGATCCAGTCCCAGGAGGCAGGGGGGGGGACACCTGTCCATCACAGGGCTCACAAACACACACTCACTCACTTGACAGAGGGGGCAATTAATCCATGTACTTAGACTACGAAGTGAGGCTGAAGTAGCCAGAGGAAATCCACACTACAGCACCCTCCATAATGTTTTAGACAAAGACACGTATTTCCTGGATTTACCCCTCTGCTCCAAAGTGTAAAATATCAATTCAGACATAATTAAAGTTATTTGCATTCATTTTAGTTTCGCCATGTTGAAACTACAGCACTTTTTCTACATAGCCCCCCTATTTCAGGACACCACAATGTTTGGGACATAACAGTGGTGTGCATATTAAAGCAGTCATGTTTAGTACTTTGTTGCATATCCCTTGCATTGCGACGACTGCTTGAAGTCTGCGATTCACAGACATCACCAGGTGCTGTGTATCTTCTCTGGTGATGCTCTGCCAAACCTCTATTGCAGCGAAGACACACCTGCCTCCTGAAGACTGTTTTCTGATCTGTTGGACAGGTGTTTGGGGATTTTTCTTTATCACAGTAAGGATTCTTCTGCCATCACCAGTGGAGGTTTTCCTAGTCTCATTAGTGCATTCTTTCTTAATGATATTCCAGTCAGTTAATTTTTCTAATCCTAAAGTTTGATCGATGTCTATCTATGAGTTTATTCTTGTTTTTCAGCCTTATAATAGCTTCTTTGCATGGTGGTGCAGTGGTTAGCACTATTGCCTGACAATAAGAAGGTCCTGGGTTTGATCCCAGGGTCGGCCATAGGTCCTGTTTGTGTGGGTTTTTGCTGGGGGCTCCGGTTTCCTCCCACAACCCATAAGTGTGCAGGGCTGCTTGATTGGCATGTCTAAATTGACCCTGTGTTGGCACCTGCCCAGGGTTGGGTCCTGTCTGTGCCCCTTGTTCCCGGGATAGGCTCCAGTCCCCCCTGCAACCCCAGTTGGGAGTAAGTGGAGATGGATGGATAGACTTTCATTAGTACAGCTTTTCTCCTCGTGTTTAACAATGGCAACTACAGACCCCATATGTTAGAAGCAAGCCTAGGAATCTTATGCCTGCACTAATGAAGCAATGAAACACACCTGAGTAAATCACAAACAGCTGTGAAACCAAATGTCCCAAACATTATGGTGCCCTGCAATGAGGGAAACTTTCGATAACGTGTTGTCATTTCTACATGGTGAAACCAAAATGTATGCAATGTATGCAAAATGTGTCTAAGTCCTAAACATTATGGAGGGCACTGTACATAGAGAGAACATGCAAACTACACACAGATGTGGGGATGGGAGCCGAATCCCCAGTCTTGGAAATGTCTTACAGTGATTCTGGTGCTGATGTTTTGGAATCTCAATCTGGAGATCCAACTCGAGACCTTGAAGACCAAAGCAGATTTAAATTCTGTATTTCTCCACCAAAATAGAATACAATGCTTTATTTTGTCTAGCAAAACACAAAACATACAGTAGAACATTTTACCAGTATCGTTCTACATCAGGGGTGGCCAATCTTATCCAGAAAGGGCCGCTGTGTATGCGGGTTTTTGCTGGAACTCCCTAATTAGGTTACTAATTAGAGGACTGATTGGCTGAAGACTCCTCACACCTGGATTTGAACAGCTGACCTAAAGGTTATCCCAAAAACCCGCATCCACACTGGCCATTTGTGGATAAAGTTGGCCACCCCTGTTCTAGATCTTTTAGGTTATCAGCAGAAAACAAGCAGCAGTGTTCCAGTTGAATGGCGGTAAGTTTTATCGTTTTACCTGATCATGCTTCCATGCACGGCACTCAGCTCTTCCCTTGGGCTTATCAACACTGACACAAGTCAATGCAAGTGAGCCATGCTGAGATTTTCCTGAAATGCTGCTCACCTGGCTCATAGAATGAGAAATACCAGGCAATCATTCTGTGCGAGTGTGGTATGGAACGGTTTATCATCTCTACACTATCTGTCCGACCGTTGCTTTGTAGCCTTTTTCAGCTTAATGAACGTGGACTTATTTTTATGATTTTCTCAGGAATTGCTTTTGCGCAGGGGTCAAAAGTCACATCTGAAAAAAGGAAAAAAAAAAACCTGTACGCTGATTATCAATTTGTAATTGGCAACAGCCAGAGTTTGTTTTTAAATAGACAATACAGTGTCCCCTGAAATACAGATCAAACTGATTTAAATTCTGAATTTCCCAAATTGCTTCCTTAACAGGGTTTCAGGACAATGAATGATGAGCCTATCAGCATAATAAGCAGATTTTAAAAAGTTTTTTTTTTCTTTTTCTTTATCAGATAAAATACATAGAAGTACTGCAGAAATATGCAGGTTTTGAAACTGTCAATAGTTGGAAGTTGTCATGGGTCTGAGAGATATGCCCGAGTGAATCTGTGAGTCTAGTCTCACCGAAGCAAACCTGACAGTTCCCCTTAAGGTGAGACACNAATTCTGAATTTCCCAAATTGCTTCCTTAACAGGGTTTCAGGACAATGAATGATGAGCCTATCAGCATAATAAGCAGATTTTAAAAAGTTTTTTTACACTTCTCCTCTTTAGGTTTCTACAAGTAAAAGGACTGTGAAAATGTGCTTGTGAGCCACTTATCATTCGCTGGAAGTTGTCATGGGTCTGAGAGATATGCCCGAGTGAATCTGTGAGTCTAGTCTCACCGAAGCAAACCTGACAGTTCCCCTTAAGGTGAGACACGGCACATTCCCGAAGGGGTCCGTAGTGACATGTTCCCGTTGGAGCCAGCGGCCTTACACAGCGGTTCTGTGCTGAAATAATCATTCACGTACTGTAGCTTCCTGGATCTATCCTTGCAACAAGCTCAAGTGCCACGAAAATTTGCATTGTTGTTGTCGTTATTATTATCGGCATTAGCATTAGCATGGCATTAGCATTAATGCATAATGTTGGCTCAGTGGGCAGCACAGTTGCCTCTCACCTCCACGGTTGGCGGATGGAATCCTGCCTGCACTCTGTGTGTGGAGTCTGCGTCTTCTCCCCATGATGCATGGGTTTCCTCCTGTTACTCCAGACTTCTCCTGCAGGCCAAGGGCATGCAATTAGGTTAATTTGTTGCTCAAATTGCCCCATAGAGTATAATTGTATGTGTGCATGCGAATTCCCTGTGATGGACTAACACCCCATCTAAAGTGTACCCCAGCCTGGTGCCCTACACTGCTGGAGAGAGGCTCCAGGCCCCAGTCCCACAGCTGAGACCAGGGTAAGTGGTTTGAAAATAGAGGGATGAATTATTATTACTATTTAGAATTTGTGAAAAAATTGTGGGCTTCCCAATAGTGCAAGTGAGGTACATCCTACAGCATGAATTTTAATCCCCTCTGTGCTGCATTAGCTTTCTATAGTAAATAGGACCAGGGAATGCAAATTATCCCAGCTTGTTTGGGGCAGGTGCCTGTGTTGCCCTACAGTGATGTATGCTGTTGGCTCAGCCTCCAAAGGACTACAGATGAAATTCTGAATGCAAATGAATTCTTACACTATTTGAAGGTTACATTATGGTTCACAACCAGAATACGGTTTGAATATAGGTACTATGATAGTTATAATATGACAAACGGAATCTGAATAGCAATGTCGGTCCTTGTTTTATTTGTCATGAAAAATTAAAGGCAGACTGGTGACATCAGATGGAGAAAATGCCCGTGATACACTATTTAGACCTATTTCTGAATATGGGTGTTTTCAAACAGGTTTCAGCAACCAAAGGGTAATTGTGAACAGCAAGGTCTTCCTGAAGTACAAAAAAATTACAGGATAAAGGGACAAGATGCATAATTAAAATAAAGCCAGAGAACTCTCAGACATCCTAAAGGAGAAGGCACATTTATCCAAGCAGCTGAAATGCATCATTAACATAAACACATTAAATTTATAGTAAACGATCAGCTTTATTTTGTTAAAGACTATGCAGAATAAAACAGATGGAAACATACATCAAATTACCATATGTATAAGTGTCTTGTTTACTACAACTGTTTATTTGTATTATAAAATTTCTCGAAGTTACATAACATGAATACATTATGAATCATTTTAATCAAGCTGAAGGAAAAGGCTAATGTTTAAATATACAGCATCAGTCAGTAGTTTTTGCACACCTGCTTGGCAGTATAAATTAGAAAGTAGAAGATGACCTTCTGGACTCTTGAGACAATATTTGAAATGTCCAACCACTGAGGATTTGTTAGGGTGAGTGTGGGTTCTGCATGGGTGGCTCTCAATCTCTTGAGTTGCTTTTCCTTAATTAATCCATGGCAATCTCAAACAGCATGGCTTTCACAGCTCACTTCAATGGCCTGCCATCCCATCAGGATTATGGCTGATTGACTGGTCTTCTTCGGCAACACCACAACCAAAACAGGTCAAACTTGTGCAAGAACTATCAAGCAAAGAAAGTGAACTCTATTGACCTAGCTTGCCCAGTCACATGGCCGTAGTGCCATAACTGACGCTCCCTCACAATGCTGGTTATGGCGTGCCCAACTTGTATATGACGAACTCCACAGAAATGTCAACCCAAAAGTACCCTACATTTCTGGGAATCTAGGCAACAGCTAGGAAGACAAGACAAGTGATTAACTTCTGAAACTTGTCAATCAAATGGTTTGCGTTTGTGAAGGCACACAAGGTAACGCAAGGAGCTATCAAAGAAAATGGCGGCTGCTTTTGAGGAATTCAAGATTGCGATATAATGTCCTCTGGGCTGTCTAGTTGGACGAGACAATAAGTCAGCAGCTCGCTTACCCTAGGCTTTCTGCGCTGGGGGAAACGCCCCCACCCAGTCGAGGCAATTAACAGGCACCAGCCGTGCGCTGTTAGCATTCTTCACAGTGTGGCTACTCGGCTTACTGTGAAGAACCTTTTGTAGCTCTCTGCCTACATGGTGCAGGTGAGAACTGCCAGTGAACAGTGGATTCCCAGTGGGTCGTTGTGAAACAGTACTTACGGGTTTCTACCTAGATTCAACAAACACCTGATAGTGGTTAAGAATTTAGAGTAACAAATGCTTCATTTCAATAAAACCTTTTCATGCATAGGATGGTAAAATCACTTCATTAACTTCCCCTAAAGTTCCAGGCTTTCTTGATGAATGTAGTTTGTAGATACTATAATGACGTATGTTGATTGGTTTCACTTATCTTCAGTACAGATGCCTTGTATGGCTTACAGACCGCTAGGTTTTCGTAACAGGCAGTGTTGAATGGTGTTGTGTGAAGTTGTAGCTAAGCATTAAATATTGAACATGGAAAAAGTTTCTGAAAATGAAGGTCCTATAGTTCTAATATAGTTTACCCCAAAGCTAATTACATGACACACTTGTTATGGTTGTTTCCTGGCTGCGTCTCACTCCTCATCAACAGCAGTAACGCCTTTCTTCTTAAGTTTAGTGTGATAATTTACCCAGACTGACAGCATAATACTTTGTACTTCTCTACTGAAACAACATAATACATTTCCTCAAGAAAGCCTATATTCTGCTGTTATCACTGTCCACCACTTCAATGTGAGATTATATTTATGTGCTCCTAGAAAGTCAAATTGTTTGGGATAAGCTTTTAGCCATTGTTTTTTCCCTATTGCGGTTGTCCAAAAAAAAAAAAAAGATGGCGCTATACAGCTTTGTGTTGAGTACAGAAAATTAAACAGCCTATAAGAACTGTTTTCCCTTCGCAGCAAATAACAGCATCAACTGATGGCATTGCTGGTAGCACTTTGCACCCAGCAGGCGTGAGCAGTCTCATGATCTTGGTATAGATGAATAAGGAGAAGTCTAAGTTCTGCGCCACTTTTGGGTAATCTGGAGTCTAACACAATGCTGTTTGGACTATGTCATGCTCCAATAACTTTTCATGCTTCATGGGGCATCTCTAGCAGTGAAGACCTCCAGTTCTTAATGCCATAAGCGCATCTAGATATTATCTTTCTTCATCCTTTTCAAAAACTCAGAGGATCTTGAAATGGTGCTTCGTGTATTTGTGCATATGAGATACTTTTAAAGGAGAAACTGAAACTTAGGTAGTTTAAGGAACTAGACATGAGGGAATAAAGGGCTAGAAATTATTCAATCAATAATGTATTAATAAGGAAGTAGTATTTATTGAGAAACATTCTAGTCCACTGCGATGGATTAGTTCCCCATCCTGGATTGTTTCCTGCCTTGCGCCTATAGCCGCTGGGATGGGCTCTGGACCCCCATGACCCTGAATAGGATAAGCAGTTGCAGAAAATGGGTGGATGGATGGATGGATGAGAACTCCATTCAACTAAAAGGATGAAACAAACAACTCGACACCCTGAGGAAGGTACAAATGACATAAATATTGCCACAGAAATATATCCAAATTGGACACCTCATGGATGGATGGATATTCTAGTCCAGCTTGAAAGACATCATCTTTCTTCCAGGTTCATGTTGTCAGATGACATTGCTTTCAGCTTATAGGTGGGACTTTGACAATCAGGAAACAGGGATCTTTGAAATGAACTAGAAAAATCACACATCATCCCATTTCCCTGTCATCGATAAGGACAGGCCTGTAAAAACACTGACCTGTAAGAATTAGTGCTACCTGTCCAAGGTTTCTCTGATATGTTAGTTCTATAGATCAATAAGGAAGTCTCTCTTCTGCAGAAATAGCAAGGGCCGTGTTACTGTTTGTGCCATTATACCCACTGTAGCTCTGGAAATCAAGTGCTGCGTTTGTGAAGAATGTTCTGACCCATTTCATGGGATTTGGCTTTGAAAAGAGCCACAAAGGACTAATTTCTCACACAATATTAAACTTTGCTGTACAATTGGAAGAAAGAGAAGTGGACCATATGCTTAGTTAATTTGTTAAATTTTCTGAAACAGTGCAAAACTGTGTCCAGCAAGAGATTTCTTTTCCTCTAACGTCAGATCAGACCTCTTTTTTATTTCGGGTATAATGTGTTTTGTAGAGCTGACAGAATTTACTGCAATGGAAATGTGTTGTCATTCAAGAGATTTTTTTTTTTAGATTCAACTTTATGTATTACAAATTACTGAAACAATGAAATTTGATTTGGCATGTAATCCAAAAGTGTAAAATAGTGCAAATGTGCTAGAAACTGTACGATATATACATATGTGATAACTAAATAGTATGTCTACACATTTTCTTATTTGTGACACATGTGCTTAGGCTCCCAAATGAAACATTTTGTTGTGCCCCTGCCTTGTGTCACGCCCAGCTCCGTCCGATCCTAATGTGTGCCACGCCCACCTCGTTACCTCCTGTTTTTGCCTGATTGTCATCACCTGTTGCCTATTCCTTTTGCCTTGTCATGTGTATTTAGTCTGAGTCTCAGTCAGTCTTCCCCAGATTAGTCATTGTAGTGTCATGTATTGTCATGTCTGCTGTTTCGATGTCTGCCCGTATCCCGTAATAAACCCCGACTTTCCGTATTACCGGCTCTGCTCGCCTGCTTCCCGGCTCGCCTTCTCCGCAATCGTGACACCTTGCACTGTTAGAAATTCTTCATCTTAGTTTTTTAATTAGTCTCTATCGTCGGACTTTGAGACCAGAAAAGATTGATTTGCATATGATATGAGTGTGCAGTTCATTTGCATTGACCATTTATAGATGTTTGTGGGTGACACCTAAGCCGGATCTCAGGCTCGTGCATGTGCGCACATTTACAAGGATTTATCAAAGGGAAATTTGCATAACCCAAGTTTGATAAGATTTTTTTGTGTGTATGCCATTTTTTGTTTTTGTATGTACGCATTTTTTCACTGTGAAGTATATGTAAAGTTTGATAAATGAGAGCCCCATTCGGCTGAAAGTATGAAACAAGCAACTTGACACCTTGAGGAAGGTACAAATGTCATAAATATTGCCACGGAAATCTATCCACATCGGGCGCCTCACTATAAACGTATAAAAATCCACATTCGTGCAAGATCCAAGAAGCACAGCTGAAATCTGCCACAATGGCAGGCATAATTAATAATTTTGCACGTTAGTGTTTGTTCAGATTACCTCTCTGGCATTTTGATGACCGCCAATAATGTACCAAGAGTGGTGTGGCAGCTTTCACCTTATTTGTTGGATCACCGGCAAAGTTTCCATTTGTGATTTAGGTCCTCGTTAAATCCTTTTGTGATTCACTTTTATGGAGGCCCATAATATACTGCTGTGGGCATTCTCTTCATTTTTTTCTGTGGGAATAGAATACACTACCAGAACTTCAAGATATTAATTTACTCTGTGAATCAAATGGTGTAATGGCTACCTGGAGAACAGCCACAATTGCAGTGTAGCAGCTGAGATTGTGCGTTTTAGGTTTCTGCAATGACAGTTGTTTTTGAGTCCGACATCTCAAACAGAAGGCATCCATGACAACTGTGTCCAAGAAATATGAATTTTCCTATGCTTTGAGTCCCTTTTTCACACAAAACGGTATACAGCTGGACTGGTGTTTGTAACTTATGAAATGTATAACTTTAAAAGATTATTCCAATTTATTTTTGTATATTAACTACCGTAAGTCCTGTCCAAACTAAACAAACACCACAAATGAGCTGGGAAGGGGAAATAAAAGAATTTTTACTTCAGTGATGTTAATATTAATTTGTGGCAGAAGACCTTTTAATAGATGGAGTGTATGTGTCAGCTTAGATTTTATTTCCGAGAAGTGCGTATTTCTCAGTTATTTTGTTGTGGTTGTGTTGTGGAAGTTATTCTGCAGATTTTCCCAATTTGCTGTGAACCACTCAATCTGACTGAGAATACATGAGTGGTGAACGAGCTGAGGGTAGGGAAGGCTGCAGGGATCTGTGGTATCCAGGGTGAACTTCTCCAGGCTGGTGGTAAGGCTGTCCTCTTGGCATTGCAAACAATCTTTGGTTTCATTTGGGAGACGGGTGTCATCCCAACCAAACGGATAATGGGACTTGTCCCTATCTGAAAAGGGAAAGTAAATCGCCTGGATTGCAGCATCTACTGGGGGATAACACTGCTCGAAGTGCTGGGTAAGGTCCTTGGTTGGGTCACCCTCAACAGGAATGAAGAAGTGTACTATCAACTGCATCCTGGCATTGAGGTTCTCATTGTGCGCAAATGCGAATATTGGCAGGGTTTCTTTGCAGTGTTTGACTCGGCTGATTGAGCTTCCCTGTGGGATATCCTGAGACTTTATTAATCCCCCAGAAGCTGCTGAACATCAGAGGCGGCCTGTACACCGATACTGTGAGTGCTGTGCAGAGTGGAGGCAGAACCTCTGCATTCTTCCCTGTGAATGCTGGGGTTCTTCTGGGGTGTGCTCTTGCTCATTCTCTGTTCAGTGCTTGCATGGACAGGGTGATTAGGTAGGATCTTGGGGTCCAGCAGTTGTGGGGCATCTGTTGATGAGGAAAGATTTACTGATCTTGACTGTACCGGCAATGCTGCGACCTTTATGGAGTCAACAGAGGCTCTGATCGGGGCTCTCTAGAGACTGAACATGGAATCTGAGTCCCTTGGTTTGCTAGCGTCCTGGATAAAATCCAAGATTCAAGCCTGACCCATTGGACACAGTCCTCAGCAGTGTGTCTGTCTCACTTACTTTAGCGGTGACTTTCATGTCTCTGGTGACTCTTCTTATGAAGTCAGCAGACGGATTGGGAGAGCATGGGGGGGGGGTCATGAGGTCGCTGGAAAGCGGTGTGTGGTGCTCCTGATATCTCTGTAAGGGGACAGAGATCCAAGTCTTTAAAATCCTAGTGGTCCCCGTCTTGCTGTAAGGCTGTGAGACATGGATCCTATCCAGTGAGCTGAGATGAAGACTGGACTCCTTTGGTACTGTGTCTCTTCGGGGAATCCTTGGGTACTGCTGGTTGGATTTTTTGTCGAACGAACGGTTGCTCAGGGAGTCCCAAGTGAGGACCCGAGTGACTGGAACAGGGCTGAGGGGATGCCTATGTACCATCTGGAAGAGGCAGATAGATGGCCATTTCCGGAGCGTAGGACTGGACTGCATTTTGACCTGGGGGGTTGCCAACCAGGGTCCTGAGTTTTTTCATGGTGTGGTAACATGCCGTACCAGTGCATGTTGGAATGTGTGTTGAAACAGTGCTGTTCTCTCTTTGGATAAAGAATTTCATGAAAGGCATTGACAGTATCTTTTTAAAATTCTGTCTCCTTTTAAATGCATTGAATGTTACACCAGATAGACTAAGGTCATCATTTGCATTTTTACCCTGCCATGAAATTGAAGTTATTCTGAATTATACACAAAATATCTTATACAGTGATTAAATATGGATTTTGTAGCTCAATGACTGTCACATTCAGCAGATGAAAACTAATATTTTCAATACCTCCAAGAAAGTAAATATTGAAAAGACAAAATTGGCACATTTCCCCCCAACTTTTTTCAGCTATTGTTCTTTTGTTTTCTGCCAGTGTGAAGCTGCATTACACATCCCTCAACTGACAAGGTCTCGAAGAACCTAGTAGAGGCCTGTGGAGGTGCAGATATTCATATTTGTAAGCTTTCGCATATAGCTATTTTATCTGTCACTGAATGTGTCCAATTAATATGTCACTTATAGAAGACCTGGAAAATTTGTGAACAAAAAACTTGTCAAACAGTGGAGCAAAACATTCAGTAATGGGAGAAACTTTGACATAGTATATCACCCATTGAAACATTTAAGATTATTACTGCTGTATAATCATATAAGCAGAGTGCAATGGAGAGCTCCTGCAGGAGAAGGTCACTAAGGATCACTCAGCACTAGACAGCAATAATGATGAATAAATAGTCAGTCATTTAGGAAAGGCATACTTTCAAGAGATGCTACTTTGCTCCATGATAGTGTTTGACCTATGTGGAAAATAATTTGATAAAAATTGTTGCAAATGGATGTCAAGGACCAACCCCAGAGATCCCCTAGTGACGTCAGAAGGACTACGCCCCCTGGGGGACCCCAACGAGGATTACCTTCCTGAGAAATGGAAACTGCCCGGTTTACCTGCTTCTCACCCTGTTTTTCTGGTTTTTCCAGTTCCTTGGCAATCTGACCTCTCAGCTAGCGGTTTAATCAGTGGAGCCTATTTTAGTTTGCCTGAGCTGAAACTCTGATGCGAGATCTCCATGGCCAGTCTTGAGTTTGAGCCTTTATCCCTGTCTGTCTGCCTGCTTACCTGCACCCTGTTTTCGCCCCCAGACCCCGAGACTTTCCTGCCCCCTCGATCTCCCATGCACGTCGCCCGACCCCTGCCTGTTTCTGAGTACGTTTTCTGTGTGTCGCCTTGGAAGTAGCGACGAGAGTTATTTTTCGCTCTCACAGCAAGTTCCAGGAGTTTTTTCATCTCAAATAAGGCCGCTCCTCGTTCCTGGTTCCTGAAGTGTCTTTTCTTCTCTGCATCCGTAACAATGCATGCAGATATATATAGATACCTTTATAGATATCTTTCTGCAAATTCATTTTCTCGTATTACCAAATGTTTTGCTTTGTCTTATTTCAAGTGTGGTTTCTGCGATAAATTATATTAAATGGCTGGAAAGTAACGTAAGTGAGCGATGCCTAATAGCTACAGTTATATTTGAAAAATTCAAGCAGATAGATACTTATCTGTGTGTTCTGACCTTGTGCTGTACAAGAGCAATGGTAGTGCTTTATAAGAATTTACATTTAGGCCCAATCCCAATTCTATTTTCTACCCCTTTGCCTACCCCTCGCCCCTTCCCCTTGCCCCTTGAAATGAAGTGGAAAGGGGTAGGGTTAAAAAATTTCCCCTAAGAAATGGGACACCACTACTACACTGTTATACGTCATTGTCACTACCTCCTAACGTTACGTCAGAGGACATGCGCCGATGTTTATCACAAATTCCAAGATGTCGCCGTCAGCATCGTAGCATGTAAAGATTACTCACTCCCAAAGTTTTTTTGCGCCGTATTTGGACTTTAAAAACAGATGTTCATTTTCACCTCGAAAACGTATGAGCCTTCGGGTTTCCTCAGCTGTCCCTATACAGAATATAATTTATTTACAAAAATGTTGTCATGTTGCAATAAGTACGAATAGTGTAAGCACCGTTCATTTACATGTACACATATGGCCGTAAGCAAAACAAAACAACGCGTTACCA